AAATCGTAGATGCAGACTCCGGGTGCGGGAGGGGATTTCCTTGAGCAGCCACATCCGCAAAAATGGGCTCACTCAGCCTGCGGGATCAAGAGATGGGTTGCGGGGATCAGTAGATTCTGGGCCCCAGGAGGACAAAGTTCTGGGGCTAACCCTCATTCCTGGGCCCCTGGAGACAGTGTGGACGTGTTAGCGTCCAGCCTGCAGGGACGCGGTCCTGGGGCTGAGATTTCCGGTGCTGTCCAGGGTGCTAACAACGCAGACTCCCGCGGCATGTAGTAATGAGGACCGGGAGGTGCGATTTGAGCCTCATGCCTCCACCGGGTGCCCAACTCAGGGCAGAGTCGAGGCGGCGGGCTTCAGAATGACCCACCCTCTGTCCGTCCGTCTGTCGCTTTCTCTAGGAACCTGCTGGACCTCGACACCTTCTCCAAGTCCGACCCCAGTAGGCGGCACGAGGACGGGGTGGTGGGGAACTTGGTGTGCGGGTGCGACGGAGGAGCAGGGAGGGGTGCGAACTGACCTGGCGTCCTTCCCTCCCCGCCCCCACTCCCGCCCGCAGTGGTGGTGCTTCACACGCAGAGCCGGGCGAGCCAGGAGTGGAGGGAGGTGAGTCCAAGAGTCCTCCTCCAGCCCAGAGGTGCCCCCGGGAATCAAACACCCCCTTGCAGGCCCCAAGCTGACTCTCGGCACCCCCCTTCCCATCCCCCGATCCAGTTTGGACGGACGGAGGTGATCGACAACACGCTGAACCCAGACTTCGTGCGCAAATTCGTCCTTGACTATTTTTTTGAAGAAAAGCAAAATCTGCGCTTTGATGTGTGAGCCCCGCCCAGAATTCTGCTTGGACCGCCCCCCGACCTGGATCCACCCGAAATTCTGGCTGGCCACACCCCCACCTGGCATCCCGACTGGTTCCTCCCCCAGGCCCAGTTCGGTCCCACCCTGAAGTGCCCCACTCTAGTCTTAGCTCCGCCCCCAAGTCTAGCTTGGCCCTACCCTCAGGTCACATCCAATCCAGTTCACTCCCCGAGCCTGGTCCTGCCCACAGCTCTGCTCCCCAATCTAGCTCCACTTCGGTCTAGGTCCCCTACTCCCCCACCCCA